ACGCATAGGCCCGGCGGCTACGTGCAGGCTCAGGCCTGGCGGCCACGCACAGGTCCCGGGACCACACGCAGGCCCGGCGGCCACGCGCTGGCCCGGTGGCCACGCACATAATGGCCAACTCTTTGAATCCCAGCCTCAGCACTTGAAAAACACATTAGGGATGTGTGTGTGTGTGTGCGCGCGCGTGCGCGCATATATGTCTGCCCAAATTCTAAGCAGGAGGAAAAATGGAGGAAAACTGGAAGATTAGAAGGAAGAATGGAAGGTTGCAACATGACCACATCCCCATTGGAGGGTGCATTTTCTCTTTCTCCCCCTATCTCTGTCTCTCTCACATATGCCCTCTGGGCACACACATGTTCTCTGACAATAAAAACAAAATGTACTGTGGAAATTTGGTGATGACTTTCTCAGCCCATATCATTCATTGAGCTCTTACTCTGGGGTAGGACCTCTGCTGTAGACTTTATCACACCTTGTTTCCAACTCTTTCAGCAATGCTGAAGGTTGATATCACCCTTCTTTCACAGATGTGAAAACTAAGGCTCAGAGAAATGAGACCACTGGCCCAAGAGCACACTGACAGGAAGACAGAGCTAGGACATCTGTCTGAACCTCACAGCTCTTCTGCCTCCAGGGCTCCAGCTAATGCTCCTTAGACGCATTGCTGAGTGGATAGCTGTCAGGGCAGAACCTTCTCTGTGGGTTTGCATGGTTACTTGTGGCCTCCAGAAATATGTCTGTGCACAAAGGGGAAGTCTCAATGGTTGGCAGACAATTGCAACTTTCTCAGGCTTATGGCAAAGGCACTTCCCCATGGAAGGCTGAACTGGAACTTCTTACCTTACAGTTATATCCTTATAACAGCAAAGAAAAACTGAAAATAGTTAAAGGTTTCATTATTTTTCTGAAAATTCTTAAGCAAGTCTCCAACTTCTGTCGATTTAACTTGGCATTACAGTGCTAATGTCCTTACAGTAAGGGCCTTCTTTTTAATCACAGCAGGCATTTTCTTTCATTTGCAGGAGCTTAGATACGGGAAAGGGAGGTCTTCTTAGTGTATAATGCATCTTTGTCAGCATTGGTTAAAAGTTAAGTGTCAGCCATGGTAATCCTCTTAAAGGAGCCTTTTCAGCTCAGTTTCCCATCTAATAAATATATGTGAACAAAGATTTATAACAGAAAAACAGGTGAAATGGTCATTACAGATCACCCCTGCTCTGAGTATGAGGGTAGAAGAAATTTTAGGAGATCACAGCAACTGCCCTTTAACCTATTAAAAGTCCACAGTTTAATCAAAAAGAGGACTTACTTTAGTAAGTTTAACTCCCTTTTGGCCAAGAGCTCTCTCCTCTCCTTGAAAGCATGCGCGCTACACGTCTGTGTACTGACTTTTCAGGTTTAGATGGGGGCTTCCTCGTCTTCCACAGCTGTGCCCAAAGCACTAGATTAAAAAAAGTTGTGAGGACACACTGAAGTCAACAGGGAGAAAAGTTCCACGTCTTACTAGTGAAGTCTCCCCTGACAACAGAAGAAATGGGTGGATAACTATAGACGATGAACACACCGTTTCTGATTTTTTAAATCCTTCTGGTTTCAATTCACTTATTCCGCCTCTGTCATTTTTTGTTGCTGTTTTTTGGTTTTTGAGTTTTTTTGTGGTGAAAGGCTGATATCAGTAAACAATAAGTGATCATAGGAGTTAAGTTTTTTGGAGTGAAGTTTTTGATCTTTTTCTTTTCATATTTACAGATTTTTTTGGTGACCACACAAGGCATGTAGTGCAGAAAATTAGGAACACTAAATTCTCATTTTTAAACAGCAGCTGGTTTCAAATACCAGCACACAAATCTTTTTGTGTTTATCCCAATTATAAGACAATAAAGCTATGTAGTTACTAGTCATAATCTATGTGCTGATTTTATCTTTTATTGAAGATCCCACACATACACACCATCAACAGATAATCACCCATTTCTGTGTCCCATAAATGTCTTGCCTCTCTTTTTCTCCTTCATTCTCTTCCTTTTACTCTCCCCTTTCTCCCACTGTCTTTCCACATTGTCTCGGTTTCCATAACCATTTTCCATCTTCTAAAAACACTAACCTTTCAGTTTCTAACATAGAGTACCAACAGTCAGTATGTATTAAGTGGAGATATATAATATATAACCTCTCTTTCATAATCTAGCGTGCTTCACTCAGTAGTAAATCTTTCATGTTCCTCTACTGTCTGTCAATTGCCAAGGTCTTGTTGTTTTTTGGTTTTGGGGGTTTTTTTTATGGTTCATTTTTTAATTAGCAGATATTTGTCTGTTGTCCACTGCTGTATGTTGGTGCTTTATTGGTCAGTTCTAAACATATGGATAGAGCATAAATACTAAATATTGAAATATTAGTAAAATAAGCATTTCTTATTGGCACCAGTTCTAGACTGTAGAGAATAACTGTAGCTTAGGTGCTTAAAGACTGTTTCCTCAAATGGTTTAAATGTGGCCTCTGCAACTTGTTCCCATTTACATTATGTCATAAACCATTTCCTCAAATACAGTACACAATTTTAGCACTTGTTATTGTCATAAATTTTGAGTTAGAAAACCGGATTTGTGAAGTTTTACTTTATTTTGTATTCTGCATCCCTGGCTTTAATCAAAGGCGGTGCTTTAGCTATTTTTGTTTGTTTGTTTGTTTCATTTGAACTGAAAAATCAGTAAAAAAAATTGTAACAACATTTGTTTGTGATTCAGTATGAAGCTACATCTTGAAATTATAACCAACAAAACTCCAAAAGTCTGTTTAAGGATAAATTTTTAAATTTAGGATCAAGTATATGCAGTTAACATTTATAATTTCTTAGCAGTCTACATTTGCTGCCAGCAAACTTTCAGCATATAGGGTTGATAAAAGAGGCTGGCAGAGACCCAACAGGAACAGAAGTTAGTGATACAAAGTAAAGCCTCTGTGAATTTCTTGCTGCTGGTTTCAGGCTTTTTGCCTTAGTAAGCTCATGCACTGAAATGAATTGATTTTTAGACCTTTCTGCACAATTAGTCATAATACTCCTGGCTGTAGGCTCCCTACCCTGGCATGTACATTCATGCATATCCATGTGGCATGGGCTGTCATGCTCTCACATGCACCAGTAATTGACAAGAATGCTGCACAGAGTTGGCCGATCAGAAGATATGCAGTGCAGAGGAACAGGATTTGAGACAGCCCCGGGTTTCCTCTTCAAGTAGGTTTAAAACATTTTTTTTTCTCACTAACTTCCTTCCTGTTCTAACTGCCGGTACTCAGAAGTCAGAGTTGAGAGACGGAGGCACCCCGGACAGAGGCGTGAAGCACTCTGAATGTAAGTTGAAATACCTGGGGGTAGCGGGGCTTCAGGTGGGCACATGTAGGAATTCTACGACCTAGACTACTACCCACTACAGTGGACTATTTCATTATTTTTATTTTTTTAGAGAGGCATTTCAAAACATGATAAGAAAGTGCAGAAGAGGCTACTGGAACGGTTCTGCAGAGAAGGGGAAGTCAGGGCTGGGAAGGGGAGCAATGAGTCAGGGAGACAGCTCAGATGGAGGGCAGAGTGTGTGGTGCCTCTCAGGAGATGAGAGCCCAAACGTTCTGGAGAAGGGATCTGAGCATACCTGCTGGGAATGTCTGGAAGGGGTTTCTAAAAGGTAGGAACAGACATCTGGCCAAGCCCAGAAACAAAAAGCTGTAGATCTAAACTGATATGGAGCACGTTGGTGGATGGTGGGTTGTGCTGGGGTGGAGATGTGTGGTTTCCTGTTTTGAAGCAAACTGTTTAAAAAGACTGGTATAAAGAGGTGGGGAAAAATGGTTTAAAGCTGGATTAAACTCTTTTCCACTTAATTTTCTGGTGATATAAGAGAAATACATAACGAAATCCTGTCAGTGCAAGAGGATTCAGCTATCCAGGGGAAGCATGGTGGAACACTCGGTTACTTACCCGAAAGTGATGCAGTGACAGAATTTCTACCTCTAACAAAAACCATGTATTCAGTTCCTGCATAAAGAGCATAAAGATGGTCGCCGTTTTGGGGGAAAAAAAAAAAGTCAGCCCTGAGAGAACTAAAACCAAACATAGATAATGCCAAATCATGTATTAAAGAGACAAGTTCTAGAAAAATCCAATGGGCCCAGCTAGGACACCTGGTTAGTAGGCCTTCAAACGTCAAGGCCTGAACTTTGGCCGCCATTAGGAGAAGTGGTTTAGGCATGAACTGAAATACTTTCTTCCCTTTTAGGGGACACCCCAGTCTGCCTGTTTTATAAACATGGTCTGTGATAAAACTCCAGTTCTAGAGTAATGTGTGATGAACTAGGTAGGCAGTTGTTCATTCAAAGTGGGGAGGACGGACTCTGCTTTCACTCAGAGACCCCTTAGTTCCCATGCACACGGAGACCAAGAGCACAGAGATCTGGCTTAGCACGTCAGATCCTTACCACCAAGATGATCAAGCAAGGGAAATCAAAAGGTCTATGGTGACTGGTTGGCCAGAGGAAAGGGAGGGGATCCAGTTACCCCCAGGAATCATTAATCTTACGATTAGTCTTGTTTGGTGAAATCTGTCACATGTCCCTACCAAAACCAGATATATAGCACAGGCCTAGTTACAAGATCATACTGTTTATGAGATGTGTAAAATAAATTCTGAGAGAACAGTTCATTCCCCATTCATGTTGCATGGATCAAAAACGTGGGAAATAACCATACTGTCACTAAACCAAACCTGGCAGGCATCCTCCAGCCAGGCCTGGACTGGAATTTGGTCCTTCCTTGTTTTGGAAAGCAGGACCTTGTCCCTAGGGAAGCAGACTCTGAGCACTATCAAGGTTCTGTTTTCAGTAGACACTTAGCCTAGCAAAGTCATTCTGAGAGAAAAATGTGAGCCTGGGCCAATTTATGGGAGCACAGTCTATTTAAAATTTCAGTTGGCAGGAAGAGAGAAGCCCTGGGGAGTGAAAATTATGCAGACAGAAAAAAAGAACCAAACTCTGTTGGGTGGCTTCTATGTGTCAGATCTGGCGTTAGAAACTCAACTTTTAATCCTAGAAGGACAGGGAAAATGATAAAAGATTTGACTAAAAATATATACTGGTACAAAAAAAAAATTGATGGTACAATTACATTACAGGAAATGTCTCATGGCAGAAGTGTTCTAGAACCCCACGTTGGGAGTATCCTTATTCTTCCGTCAGCATTATTGGGTCCAATAGTGATAGCATCTACACTGGCATACCCAGGGGTAGATCTCATGTTGCTATGGAAACTTCAGCATTTATCCACGCAAAGGGCCCTTAACAAATCACTCTGTACTCTTTATACTCTTAGTTTCCACAGCCAGGGTTGGTAAAAATTTACGTGGGCTTTTTCAAAGGTTCTTTTTTTTTTTTTTAAAAGGTTCTTATAGTCTAAGCACTATTGGTCTAAAAGAGATCTTTGAATTCTAATTTCTTGTGCTAATTTAATTTAATTTGACTTTAGTAAGTTATTGATGGATAGTCTTTTTTTCTGCTAACGGTTTTCTTAGTGCACATGGGTATTCTTGATTTTTGGTTTTTAGTTTTCTTGAGGCTAATATTTGTGAAAGTACCTAGCACAGTGGCTTCACATAGTAGGCCCCCTTCACAAAGCAAGCACTGGGAAGATTCCTCGAGCTGGCTCTCCTTTTGCATAAAAATCTGACTTAGAAGAATATAGTATGAATGGACCAGTGAGAAACAGCATCTTGTTTCACTGCCATTAGTAATTTGTACTCACCTCTGAATTAAATATGTTCATTGTCTCTCATAAGAAACTCTTGTCTCAGAATTTACCTTAGTTCTTCTCATCCAGTTTTGGAGTTTTGGGTGTTCCGTGTGGTGCTCAGGTGTTACAGTGCAGCCATGAGGAGCCCAGAAAGTACCACTTCTTTTATGTTGTTTGGGGATACCAGGGAGATCAGGGAGGGACCCAGAATAAGAAGGCTTCTGGTGTCCTGAGAGATAAATTTAGAGTCCCCAAAGGTGCCAAATGGCCAGGCAGGCAGCATAGCGAACTCAAACCTTGTAGAGTTCTGAGAAGCTGGCAATCTTGCAGAGATCCTCCATGGCCTTCTCTAGACCTAAAGCCCCAGATATGGACAAAGTCCTTCATATCCTAATCAGCAGGGAGTGAAGCTCCTGGGGTGATAGAGAATACTGATGCCTACATGCTTACTTCCCTGATGGAAACCCCCTACTTTGAATACTTCCATATTTCTCTGTCTCCCTTTTTCCCTCTGTCTCTCTTTTTTTCTTTCTTCTTCCTCTTCCCCTGCCCCCAACTCTCTCCCTTCTCCTTTCTCTCCCTCTCCTTTTCCCCACTCCTCTTTCTTCCTCCCTTCTTTCTCTCTCTCATCTCTACCTCCTCTACCTAGTATAGTTGAACTTCCACATCCATGGGGTCCACATCCATGCATTCAACCAGCTGGGATCAAAATTATTATATATATACACACAAATTGGTCACATCTGCACTGGACATGTACACTCTTTTTCTTGTCATTATTCCATGAACAACACAATACAACCACAATCTACCTAGTATTTACATTGACTTAGATATTACAAGAATCTAGAGATGATTTGGAGTATATGGGGGATGTAAGTTATATGCAAATACAAGGCCATTTTATAAAAGCAGCTTGATTTTGGTATTTGCAAGGGTCCTAAATCCAATTCCCAATGGATACTGAGGACCATTTCTGCACTACTATTGAGGGCCTGTGTGTCTACGTGCATCATCTATCAGAACTGCACAGACCTAGCTTTGTGACATGTTAAGTCTTTACTATTTTTTTCCCAGAGCCAGAGGGAATTCTCTCTGTAGTGTGCCTGTGTCCACTGATAATTACATGCACAGAGTGACCTCTGGCTTCAGTAAGGAAAAAGAATAAATAAAACCTAAAACTAAATAGTGTATTTGGATGTTTGTAAAGAAATAAAATAGTTATGGTCCCGTTTTAAGGTTGACCCAGTGCACTCTTCTTTTTTTTGAGAGGTTTTTGCTCTCTCTCTTTCTGGTGGCACATGTGCTCACCAGAAAGACAGAGACAGAGAGACAGAAAGTGAGAAGTCACTCCCCAGGGGGGATGGCCACGCCACAAACCCTTCTCCTCCATTCTCCTCTCAGGATCTTGGGCATGCATGCACATGCGCCTGGAGTGAGTTTTAAGCCACCAGGTCTGAGACACGAACCGCGGTCAACTACATAGGAGTCCAGCGACATAGCCATTATGCTAACTGCTGGTCTCCCAGTGTACACTCTGTAGTTTCTGGAACATCTTGTCTCTTCCATGCTCCTCAAAGAAACAAGATCTACTTTTGAAAGGTAAAGAACAGACATGATCAATTCCTTCCCAGAGGAAGCTGTTTGGTGTAGAGTCAGTGACCTAGCTCCTCCAAAGAGAGCAACACAACAGACAGCACCTGCAGGGAAGGAGGAAGGCAGAGAGAATCAACATGTATCCAGCATCTACCACTAACTAATACGGTCCTAGAATTTTCATGTTTCCCCAACCCTTCAACCCTACAAGGAAGGATTATTCCTCCTTTACTGATGGTAAAACTGAGGCTCAGGAAATTAATAACTTGCTAAGTCCTATAATAGGCCACTTTCAGAGCTAGATTTGTATCCCTAGTCTATCTGCCTCAAAGTTCATATGTCAACCAAATGTCAAAGTCACCTGAATTAACTAGGCAATTTATTTCATCTAAGCTAGAGAGTTTCACCTATTCTTGTCTCCAACTCATTTAGACCTGCTTTAATGAGCCAGATAAAGTGTGTTCTATCCTAAGAGTGGTATACATTCTTACACGTGTTTCATTTTGGGAGTCTTGGAAATTTCAATGAACTGACAAACAAAAACACTGGGTTGTGCTACATCATGTGCATGCCATGGGAACCGATCCTATTTTCATCTGGCATTTTAATTAAGCCCAAGAAGATTAAGTCTCCATCTCAGCCCACCTAATTTTTAACATTGCTTTGCTGGATAGAAAACACATGGGTGTGAAAATTCATATGCAGGTGTGAAAATTCATCTGCTAGGCATCTGTGAAACAGCAAATGCAGATAACAGGAGTAGTAAACACATGAAAAAAAGTAATATGTGCTTTGAGACCTGACAGGTAGAGTCTACATTAACTTTGTTAAATATGTAACTGCTTAATTCTCCATTCCAC